TGATTTAACGCCAACATATATATTTATATATTTATTTGAACATTACAGTTAATCCAATTGCAAAACGTCACAGAACGTTAAATCTAATAGTTGCTATGCTTTCGTCGAGCGTGTATGTTCAACGATTCGTGTTACAAATAAATAACTTATTAGTGAAATTAAATTTTGCATGTCATTTATTAATAATGTAAAAAAAAACACACTTTGAGATATCAAGATCTGTATCATGTTAATCGATTAGATACGTTATTAGGTCAAGATAAATTTATGAGTTCGGTCGAGTGTATTGATTCGATTTGATTAAAAAAAATACATTGAACACGTGTGATAGATATAATAGAAAGTTTTTAGATGTCTTATCGTGTTATTTTTATGTTACTTTTTCTATGTAAAATAACATATTTCTTCTATTGTCATAAAATATATATCTTTTAATTCAAGAGATAAATCATAGGATTCTAAACATTGTGAGCTACGTTAAAACGATAATGTTGAATTCTCAAAGGTAGGGAGCGTGGAAACGGTACCTCGAGCGTGCTCGCACGATATCCTTCCTCCTCCTCTGCCTCCTCCTGATCCTCTAAACACTCGACACGATATTACACGATAGAGTTCAATCAAATATTTCAATACAAATTGCTGAAAAAAAAAAGAATTCGCTAACCTTGTCTGTCTAAAAAATGACCGAAATGTATACGTATGTATTGATACAATGAAAGCAATTAAAAGATAAGAGAAAGACAAACAGACAGAGGGATTTGTAATAAGTATAATTTTTGAAGAAGTGGTAATACGCCGACGATGACAAGGACGATCTCAGGATTCGAGAATTATCATAAAAATAGCTGCGTAATCCTGCGTAATGTTACGGACGGCTCCTCTTTAAGATGTTCCACAAGATGCTGCAAGATACACGCGAGACTCTCGATCAAACTTCTCGCAAGTTGTTTGTATATGCACGGTACATACATATGAACGTGTTATAACGAAACAACGTTATTCACGCATTTACTTCGGTTACTCGTAAACGAAAATAAATCCTCCTTACTATCCCTATATAATCCGTCCACTCGAAACTTAATCTTCTTGACAAATTTATCCTTTAATATATATAATAAAAGATATAATAAAATAATTGATTTTAGGAATGATTTTGAATGAAATAAAGGATGGGATAAACAAGACGAAGGCAATGGCGGTGTTCGTAACGACTCGGACGGGTGCGACCTTACTTTCTCGTTACGATCTGAGAAATATCGCGAGGCGATCGACCTTTGAAAGTTCGCCTTTCGAAAATCGGTCTCGCCTTGTAGAAGCCACGGCCTCGCTCGATTTACTTACACTTGCGATCCTTTTCTCTCTCCCTCTTTCTATCTCTAACTCTATCTTTCTGACTCCTCTCACTCTCTACTTATTTTTATTTGATATTTATTATAATATCTACTTTCTCTTTTTCAACTTAATCGAAGACTGTACATTTATTCGTTGATCACATTGACGACATATAGTTCTAATTGAAATATTAGTATCTCTTGATACAAGATTCAATATTTTCCTATTTCTTTCAGTGTTACGTCAGTATAGGGGCCACCCACGTGTGCGCAAAACGTATGATTAATGTCCCTGATTTCGGCATCACCGGTATAGTAATACCGTTTCGACTCGAGATATAGATCGTATAGATCGTTCGTGCCGCGAACCCGCAACTTCTTGCCAATGGAAAAAGAGAGATAAAGATGTTGAGAGATAAATATAGAGAAAAATAGAAAAAGGAAATAAAGAGACAGGCATACGTCCAAATAGAGAGAAACTGGGAAACGGTCGTACAAAGTGAGAAAGAGAAAGAGAAAGAAAAAGAGAGATAAGCGAAGAAGGAAGGAAAGAATATTTTCTTGTTTGAAAAGAAATAAGTTAAAAGTTAAAACGAGTTAAAACGAGTCTGGTTGCAATTACTAAGAGAGCTGCTATCCTCGGACCAGGAACGAACGACCAACCACGCCCTCGCTAATGTGAGATCGGGACAGGATTTCGAATTGGCTCGGCAAGGACGTCAACTGTACATACAATGCCCTGCCACAAAGACCAACTCTCTATCTCTCTTCGACGTATCCTGTGGATTTTTTAATTACACCTTGTTTACGTTACCCTGACTGACCACTTCCAACAAATATATTCTACATATACGATTACATATAAGCCTCCTCCCCACCCGTATGTTTGCGTAGAATTTAAGTGTACGAAAAAGAGAGAAAGTTTTGTCAAGTTCAATCAAATTCTTGTAATCGATTTGTTTTGCCATAAATGATGAGTAAAATTAAATTATGACTTCGATACACAGGATAATAAGTATAGTAATAAGAGAAACAGAAAATGAGTGTGTTAATTAACCTCGTAAAAAGAGATATCGATTGTGGTTTATGTACCCTCGTAAAGAAACAAAAAAATCAACGATTACTATCGATCGAATTAAATACACAGTTATTATATTTAAATGATACTTTAAATATATTAAGTATTTCCAGATATATACTAATGTACAGATAAGTGAAACATTTTCACAAAATCATCGAAATTCAAAAATAAAAAGGAACTCGCACATTTACGACTCTTTATCCGATATTAAAAAGCTTTGTCCAACTGGACAAATCTGTTCTCTCTCTCTCTCTCTCTCTCTCTCTCTTTTTTATTCGAACGGTTCATGAAGATACTGGCGATGGTTACAGAAGGCAAAACTCATAAAACGGATTTTCTGCCGTAAATAATTCAGGAAGATCAGAGAATCTTAACTTTACGATCGACGATAAAAAATATTGCTCTCTCTTTCTCTCTCTTTTGGTCCTCCCAAAGATTGATTTCCTTTCGATATATTATTATCGAAAGTATTATCGAAATATTGATACAAAATCGAGCAATTTTCAATCTTCTTTTTGAAATCGATTAGAGTAATTAATGAAATACAATGAATAATGAATAAATGAATAAATTTTGATAGATCTCGATGTTGTTTTGATGTTTGTTTGAATGTTTAGATCGATCACAAGGAGCACAACGAGTTTACGTATTTACCGCAAAAATTTTCCATCACGTAGCGGACGAGTGAATTTCTCGGCACTCTCTTATACTCGTCGTCTTATAAACACACATCGAAAAGACTTAGTTGTAGTAGATTCGAAAGTTAGCCTTCCGTACGGTGAATACAACTTGCCGGTTCTTGTATCTTTTTACTACGACAGGGACGTATCTATTTCGATATCTGCATTTTCTTCTATTTCCTTCCCTTTATTTATCAATAAACTCAACATTCTCAAATTATCCTCTTCAATGTGCTACTGCTTTTTGAATAATGCTACCGAGAATATATTTTCATTCTGAAAGACGTCAAAGATGTGAGAAATTCGATTTAATTCCATGATCTTTAGCGAAATGATCTTTTCTAATCATCCTCGGTGACTAATTATTCATTTTCTTAATGACGATTATGTCCTATTCGTTCGACATGGAGAGAGTGGAAACAAGAATCAGCGTATTAATGTCGCCTTTATCGTGTTACATTAGTAAAAATAACTGTATGCTCGAGTGGCCGCTCATCGTCGTTTGTCGCACTTTAATTTCAACAAAACAGGTTCTCTTCCTTCGTGAGAGGGATCAAACAACCACGAAAAATAGAAGGAGAAAGAAGCTTGATTCATTTGCGACAGCCACCGTTAGATTTATCCCTTGATCTTGATCTCGATCTTGATTTTTTCTATGGGTAAAATTATTCGTATCCCTGAATTCATAAATTAATGCATTTACACATTCGTGAATTTATTATATTGGTCGCATAAATTAATGATATAATTAATTAATGGTCTAATAGGGAATAAATTTATATAACAAATGTACTATATTAATAAATAAATGAATGAATTCAAATCTACGGTATTTTGTAAGTAAGTATATATCTTCCACGATAAATCGCTAATGTAAAAGCAAAATTAATACGATTAGATTGTTCTATATTTCGCAGTTTGTTTTATATCTTCTTGACTTTATGTTTATATTACGCAATTGATATATTTTTAATTAATACGAATTTTTATCTTACGTATATGTATTATATTTCAAACAAAAAATATATATGAAAAAGGTCACTTTCTTAATAATCAAATCGCATTATATGCATATATCACGTATTGCCAAATATCTATAATAAGCTGAATAAATATGATTAGTTGTAACCAAAAAATTTCCATACTAAGAACGATTCTATTCGTAGATTTCTAATCGTTATCGTAACGGTATCAACAAGTCAATTTTAAAATTGAATTTAAGTTAATCGTCCGATCGTGTCCGAGTTCCTAAGTCTTCTCCGCCAATTTGAAATTCTTCGCACCGACAAACAACGCAATTCGTCCCGTTAACTCCTTTATACGCTGACGCTTTTGCTCATTATCATCGGATCGACGGTCTTAGAACAGCGTTTCACTCGAAAACACCTTAGCGTTACGCGTAGATTCTTTCTAAAGTGGCTCACAAAGTGAGATTAGTTTCAATGTGTTCAACTGTGCGCGCGCGTGCAAACTTATTTAAACGAATTTCAAAAGATCTAATTCTTGAAACAATTAACTCGTCAAATGATAAATTATTTGTCTAAAATAGACGAGAATTGTCAGAACATATGAATGATTACAATTTTTGAACGATCAAATTATTATATTTTATATATAGAAGAAATTTAGATTACAAATGATGATACTTTATAAAAGAAGAATCTTAAGTATAACATCGAATAAGATACGATAACCTATTTGAATTTGCCGCCAGCGCCAATTTCCTGATCGAGTTTGAAACTCTGACTACGAACCTTACAAATTACAATCGCAAAGTCAAAGATTAACATATTATATAATCTCGTAGGAATGGATTCAATTTGAAGATAATACGAGCTCAATATATATATATATATAACAAAATATTGAATAATAAAAATAAGAAGAACATTAATAAATAATACTGACTGTTTCGACCATATCGAAGCCTCTTCCGTATACCATCTCGTCGAGTCGGACGATCCTTCGGTACGGTTTAATCTCTAAATCTTGTTCTCCCTTCGTTTTCTAATAACAAGACACTCGTAAAAAAAATTCTATTAAAATCTAATTACTAAAAATAGGTCGATCTCTCCTCGAAGGAGACACCGACTATGTTTAAAGAAAAACAAAATACGATTGTCATATGTTTTCACTACGTCTATTATTATTTTTCTCTTTCAATCTCTTTCACACAAAAAGTTATTTTCTATGTCGTTTAAGCTTATTATTATTTGATACACTCTGTGTCGAACTGTTGTAAACTATTGGTCAATTAATAATTAGAATTAATCGGAGCATTCTAAAACCAGCGTATTTCCGTCCGACCGACCGACCGACCGACCGACTCGTAACTGCGAAGCGGGACCATTCGAGACGTTCAAACTTCCTACGAACTCTTCTCTCTTTCTCTCGCGCGCGAAACCGACCGAGCTCTAACGATCTCGACCGAATCAAGCGACCTACTGAACTTATGCACGCGCATGCGCATTTCCACAGATCAAACCTTTCGAAAAAGGCGCTACAAGATTCTAACCATTTCAACTTATATATATATTTCATTAATACTTATATTTATTTATTTTTATATGTATCCCCTTGCTATTATCAATTTATTATTATTTTCTTAACAATTTATTAATCATAAGTATATATTGCAATTTCAATAAGAATTCTCTTACATTATTAAATTATATTTATGTATGTATTTAGATTAGATTTTATGTTTATTCAATGCTGCATACATACTTGCTAACAACTAATCTTCATTTTTATTTATTGTTTTCTATTATATTTCCTTCTAAAAAAATACTGTTGCTCTATGCCGTTATGTATTATAAAACTAAGCATGAAATATTTGAATTTCGCGGTCTCGGATATAGATTATCGTGGCAGCCATTTTCTATTTCCGCGGGAATTATTTAAAATGCGTTCATTTGAGATAGAAACGTGAAAAGGGATATAATACGCTGACGAAGGTCGACCGCATTTTTCTCTTTTCTTTTTTATATCTAATACTACTTCGTAGAAAGAAGTTCAATAACTATAAATCACCATTAACACTATTGTAAATCAATTTACCTAGCAGGACGGTACGTCGTAAAACAATCGTGTGGCGATCGTGATAGGATCGAGTGCAAAAAAACGAAGTAGATCGTCTGAATTGTATACGCGAGTGAGATACGCGTGACTATCTTATTATTAGAAAAATAAATTAGATAGATAGATGAACAAAAAAAAAAGAAATTAAAAGAAATAAAACCAAAAGAATATTCTATTGGGAAGAAAGTTATGCGAAAAGTGTGGTGTAATTAAAAAATATAATAAATGAAGAAAAACAATGGACAAGCAGAGCGCAGCAAAAGGCAGCCTTGATCGGTTAGTAAATATCTTTCCTCGCGTAACGCGCGTTTTACTCCTTGGAAACGCACTTTAACAACGATTCGCGCGAGAGAGCACGCAGGTATTCGCGTGGGCGAATAGTTCGCGATTAGATCCGCGACACGCTTCTCGCGAGGGCCGAACGAACGACCGCCCAAGCGAGAGAACGACGAGGGACGAAGGAGGGACAAAGGAGGGACGAAGAAATGGACACAATAGCCCTTTGTGAGTTATGGCGGTGAACAACGGTGGCGCCGTTAGATATTGTGAAATGGATTCCAGGCCGGATACGCGTTCGAAACAGTGACGTCAATCTTTTCCCTTCAAAATCCCCATGAAAATTGTCCTTGAACAAAATCGCCGCTTGTAGATAATTTCCACTTTTTATTTCTATATTCTTCTCTCTCTCTCCCCCTCTGGTTTATTTTTTTTCTATTTAAATACATGGAAGACAATTACGATAATAAATTAGTTACGAGAATAGAGTGTTGTGGTTTTAAAGGAAAAAATCGTAGGAGAGAAACAAAAGATAAGAATAAAATAGAAATCAAGATAAAATTTGGTTTGTTGATCGATCGGACCGTATCGATCGGGGATTTTGATCTAAACTATTCGAGATATTTATCAGATGCTGGCTAGATTTTTTGTTATTCCGTTATCCAATTATTATTTTCCCTGTTCCTTCGTATAAGGACGCTTACGTAAGACTCGTTTAAAATTCCCCTTACGTAATATGTATAATCGATCGATCGGCTTTGCACACGACGTCGCTTGTCACGACGATCCAGACAAACGTGTTCCACGGATATCTATGTAGATCGCGTTTAGATCCTTCCACTCTTCCACTTCTTCCGCGATCTTTTCATGGAGAAATTTCATTCTAACTTTTGACTGTCAATTTTCATTTAAATATTTTCCTTCATCCTCTCTGTATCTTACGTAAATTTGTTACACGTCTATTATCCGTTAAATAATTATAATTAGAAACGTAAATTAAACTAAATATATCAATCCATCTATCATCCTATCCTATCCTATCTATCTATTTATCTACCTATCTATCTATCTTCAATGGACTAAAGTAACATAATAATAGGTGGATTTAATAATCATCCATTTTCAATCGATAACGTTCACGGCCTATCGACTATGTACCAGTTCACTAGGTAGTTTACCCGCTTCATGATCGGTCATGGTTGGATCGGTCTTTCCTCGTTGCGAAAGTCCACATCCGGCTAACAAATTAATCGTCGTCGGTCTAATACAAAAATAAACTGACGCACATAGAGGATTATCATATTCCTGTTCTTTATTAACTTGCATGGAAAGAAGGACAACAAATTAAAAGAAAAATGAGCGCGAAAAAAATTAGCTAATAACACACCTACCGCGTAAAGATAAAAACCACGAAGATTATGTCACGCCAGAGAGAGAGAGAGAGAGAGAGAGAGCTTTGCGTTTATTTAAATATAAACTAGTTCATTATTTCGACATATCTTATTATAATAATAATTGAAAGATCCTTTAGACAATCGTGGGACTAGCATCAACGAACAAGAACATTTTTTGGACACCGCAATTAAAAAATATAAAAGAAAAATGAAAAAAAATGTAGAGCGGATATGCGAACGCGGCTCTTGCGTCAATGAAACGGAAACGAAACTGCGAAAAGAAGAGGATAGAAAACATTACGATGACGGGTCTCTCTCTTTCTTTTGATCTGTCTATATAGCTATCTCTTTCTTTCCCAAATGAATCTTGTGAGAAACGCCGGTAGAAATAAAAGTGCTTTTCGTTCCCCGATGCTGACGTTCATAGCCATCCGGACCGTTCGCATTAACGTCTTTGCGCTGTGAGAAAGCTCGGAGAAAGAGACAAAAAAGGGAGAGGGATAAAGAGTAAAAAGAGTGGGAGATGAATTTACGTCGAGAGGTTAAAGAAACGTGTCCTCCGCATCACGTGCGAACTTACTCTTTACGTAGTGCTTTTTTTATCCTTTTTTGTTAACAATGTCGAAGGCCCGTCGATCCTAATTAGATTATGATTATGATTCATTTTATTAATCGCATCGACCCGTAGTATTCTTAAATAAAAATGCATACGTATATATACTTGTATATATGACGAAGCCTGCAATTCGATAAATCATCTGCAAGATGAAAGAAAAAAAAGGGTAAGAAAGGAAGAGAGACGATGCACCTCGTAGTACTCTCTCTCGTAGTACTCCCTCGGAGTACTCTCTCGTAGTACTCTCTCGTAGTACTCCCTCGTTTCCTTTTTGCGTAGGACCCTAGCAAGTATAAGAAAGAACGAAGGAAAGGAAAAAAGAGATGGTCTTTTTCAACGTCGATGAAACATTATCTCTCGTCGAATGGAGCAATAATTGTCCACTGGAAGGAGATTCTCTTTCTCTCTCGCTCTTGGTCCCGAAGATATCCCATTGTTCGAGGGATCTTCGCTCGAGATACCAAAGATTTTTCATCGTCGTTGCATCTTCGTAACGTTCGCGTATTGCGACTACCCTGTCCTGTATATATCCCGCGAAAGGTCCATGGCGAACATCTTTAAGTACCCTTCACACCTGAAACTTTTCTATTTCCTTCTAAAAAAAACCTCATTTTAAGTGTTATTAAACTAGGATTTACATTTCTGCGTGTAACATTCTGTATATGAAAGGATTGTGAAAGAAAAATTCTACAAAGTAAATTCAGAAAATAAACAAAAATAAGAAACAATAGAAAAGGATGAAAATGTATTATATTATTGAATCAGGTTCATTACGAGTAAGAATTAATCGGCGAAGAAACTATTATAATCCATATTGATTATGCAAAGAAGAAACTCTTAGGTACGCGTACGTTTGGTATTATAATTTAATCGCGACGATATTTTCCCCGTCGGCGAGTTGGTACAAAGTTGCATCTTACGCAGCAGGAGGGATGCTGCCTTCCCTCTCCAAGGATTTATTTCCCTTCCTTTGATTTATAACATCGATTTCAATTTTTCACGGTCGTCATCGTTTGAATCGCGCGACGAATATTCCTATCCTAACTTCGTAATCCCAACATTCAACATTGTATAGCATATATCTATACTCTACCTATAGGCGTGTGTATGTATGGGAAAGTATATTAATTCATTTCTATATTAATTAGTATAAAGTACAAATACGAGCATGAATAATTGAAAATTGAATGAATATTTTTAAGATTATTTTAATATATATTTTATCTATTAAATGTGCATATCATATCATTGTTAAATATTATTATATTACATACAACTCTCTCTCTCTCTCTCTCTCTCTCTCTCTCTCTCTCTCTCTCTCTCTCTATACATTCACGTTTAAAGAAACAACCAATACACACGATAAACTATACGTTTTATTATTATACTTGATTAGCTATACAGGAAGAAGACAAAAAAATAATTAAATGTGATTAAAACAAAAGGCTAAAGATACGAAGATAATCAAAAGGGTTAAATCATTAGATATAGGCGCGAATGGGTAAGATCATTTGATGGTTTAGCCGAGGAGAAACGACTCGTAATTAGAATTGAAACGATAATACCAGCTATTATCTGGCCGGCACATGCACGATACTAAGCGATTCGTATAGCTAGTGCAGTTTGTAAAAGGTTACGACACTCCGCGTTCGCAATTCGTATCGTAACCTTTGCTGAGGTTCTGTCGCAACCTTTTACAATACATTCTATCTCTATCTTTCTTTTCCTT